TGCCAAGTGTCTTTGGCAATTTTTCCTTTAAGGGACTTGATCATTTTTTAGGCAACTTTCGAAAGCGTCATCGAGGGACTATGATCATTTGATATTGTTTTGTTTTGCCAAAAACACTCAACATGCAACATGGCCCATTATTGAAGGCAACAAGTGGAGTAACCCTAGGGGTGCAAATGTGATTGGTGTTGTCCATTTTCATGCTTTTTTGTCTTTTGTTTAGTCAAGCTATTTGTTATTTTTTGATTTGCATACAAAACCCTAAGTCTATCATGGTATAATTAGAAAGCTTAAAAATGCGGAAATTAAAGTCCTAAATTATTACAACACAATTATGGGATGGGGGGTACAAATGTTCAAATGGGGATATTTAGCAAGAAATTTAAACCTAAGCTATTACATCCAAATTGAATATACAGGTTATTTTAATTGTACAATAATTAAACAAAACGCAATAAATATGCAAGATGCAAAAAAAATGATTTTTATATGTGTGTAAAAAAAGTATTTTTTATGTGACAAATAAACAAAAATAAAAAGTTAATTTTTGGGTATTTTTCATATTTAGGGCAAAACCCTAATTTTGCAAATAAAAGGTATTTATTATTTAATATATACAATGTTTATTAACTATATACAAAAAATAAATAAAAAGGAAGTATATTGTAAAAAAGTGATTTTTGAGGTTAAATATTAATAAAAATAAAAATGTATTATTTTTGTATTTATCCTAAATATTTAATAAAAGATAAATAAGTATTTATATTATATTAAATATATATAAAAATAAAATATATTTGTTATTTACAAAAAAAGTATATTTTTTAGAAAATGTTTTCAAAAGATAAAATAAAAATAAAATCATAAAATAAAATGTTTTTGTATTATTTTTAGTATTTTAAATAAAAGTATGTATATATTTATTTGCATATAGAACTAAATGAAACAAATAAATACCAAATAAAATGCAAAAAAAGTGAGAAAAATATTTTTAATGTTTTTTCATGCTGGGATAAAAATATAAAATCCAAGTCAAAAAGAAAAAATAAAAAATGACAAATATATCATTCAATGGGCCAGGGGGGTGCAAATTGAAAAAAAGGGTGCAAAAAGTAGGTCTGACTTAGGCCCAGCCCAAGCCAGTCATCTTCAACCTCCAGACTTGTTTGAACATCAAAACACGCGTTTCCTAACTCCTGATTCCTGGACTTTCAAGCAAAACTCATAACACCAAAAATATAGAGTATCAAGAGACGAATCCAGACATATAAAGAACTCGATTTAACTCTAAGAAACGAGGGAGAATTTCTTCATCCCCAATTTCTGACCTAAGTTTTTCCTAATGTTCAGGTTCCAAATTCTCTTAACACATACAATATAAATGAAAAGTGAGGATACAGGTAGCTTCAGGGCCATGAGTAGAGCATGTTTCATTCATAAACCTAAGCCTAACTCTTCCTAGATTGAGAGATAGAAGTCCATGTTTTTACCTATTTCAGCTTGAGTCGTGTACAACAATGGAGGCACCTTTAATGCAATGTGAGGACTTGTACAACTTGCTTGAAGTTCAGGGATGCTTCTCCAACCTCTAGCTTGCTTTGAAACTAACTGGAACGAGCTATGCAACTCAACCTGCACAACTGAAAAAATGAAAATGGTGAACTTGGTTAGAGGTGTTACAGTCTGTAGCTAGGGCTTGGGATAACTTCAATGGATGGTAGGGAGTGTGTATGAACAAGCTTTGGCCAAAATGCACGAGCAAACTGAGTTGTGCAACTCAATCTGCAGGGATGCCCTGTTTTGTGCAGCAAAATGGTGTTTTGATGAATGATGAGGTTTGGAATGTTAAGGGCTCGTGTTTTAGGTCTGTTAGATCAAGTGGAAAGTGTTTACAATGTTTGCTTCAGCTCTCGCTTGTAGGAATGTCAGTTGTGTTTCAATATGCCAAGTTTCTTCTATCTTAAGCAAAGTTTGTGAAGTTGGGTTATAGGCCAAGGCAGGTCCCTCAAGCATGCTGCATAATCCCTTCTTGATCAGTGGGATTAGTTCATAAACTTGTGCCTCAAATATCTGCGTTGTACTTCTTTGATTTGTGTTTTGACATAAAGCCAAGCTTTACAAGAATGGATAACTTGCTTTTTCCAAATATGGCTTGATTTTGTGTGTATTGTCCAAATGCACAAAATAATGCTAGAACACAATGGATTGGCATTTAATTATTGAGTGTAAATGAGATTAGAGGCCTGTAATCTAGCTTGCACATGCTGAATTCAAAAATGCCCAAGTTATGAACATGCATTTGGCCATGAATCAAAGTGACTTTTGCCCATATTGACAAATTCGATTCTCCCTAACCACAAGGGTGTTTGAGAAGTTCTTGGACAATTTGGAAAGCTTAGAATGTGTAATACAATCCATATTTGTAATGCAAGTTGAAATTCCAAGTGGAAGCATGTGAAAAGTGGCCATGAAGTTGGGCAAAAATCCTGCCTAAAATAGGTCAAAAAATTTCTAAGTTAAGAATGTTTTGCACCCTTGTTTCAAAAATCATAACTTGAGCTAAAAGCTTCTTTTGAGGAAACTTTGTGAATCAAAGTTGTAGATTTTGCAATGGACTACAACTTTCATGTTTTGAGTTTTGTTTGAATCCAAATGTATCTTGATGAAAAAAAGGGACAAAGTTAGGAAAAAATTAGGAAATTTCATAACTTAGAAAATTTTCATTTCAAACCCTAATTTGTAATTTTTGATTTCTTGATGAACAAGTTTCCTAATTTGACATGTCTTGATGAAAAATGAATCTTGACACTTGATTTTGACCAAAAAGTCAAAGTTTGACTTTTCAGTATACAGTCAAATTTGGCTCAGTTGACTGGAAAATTCATTTGTCAATCTTGTGCATTTGGGATCTTTTGAACTTGTTGAACATGTCAAGATAATGCCATTGGGTCCTTGAGTCCATATGTGAGCTTGGTTTGCCATTGGCTAGGTCAAACAGTCAAAAATTACCTTTGTGCAGTCAAAACCTTGAAAATGACCATTTTGCCCTTTTGGTGATTTGATCAAATTTCTTGTGGAATTGTGATCCAAACTTGATCAAATGGTCCATATGAGTTCATAATGTTGATGTGGGTCAAAAATCATGAGGTTTGACTGTCAATTGACCATAGTTGACTTTTTCCTCAATGCAGCTGATTTCTAGGTCAACTGTCCAATTGACTGGGCAAAGATTGGAATCAAGGCTTGAAACTTGGTATGGATAAACTTGTGAGTCCAACATGAAGCATGAAAGTCACTTTTGGCCTTTTAGGTCAAAACATCTTTGTGCAAACTCAAACCCTAATTTGGGTCAATAGTGCAAGGAGGAGTCTTGAGCAGAGCAAACCCTAGCTGGATCTTGAGCTCCAAGGGTCTTGTGGTGAGCAAATATTGATGAAATGGGAGGGCAAATTTTGGGGTACAACAAGCGGCCTCCTTCTATCCCCAATTCCGACCGATAATCCATAATTCCTCTCTAAATTGAAACCCTTGGACGTCCTAAAGCTTCAATTAAGCGATGCTGACACCTCTACTCGAGCTGAAACCATGGGGAAAGAAGTCTATGCAGCGAAGGACATGCTAGAACAAAGTAAAATCGTTAAATCAACGGGGGATGATTAGCGACAATTACCGTGCATTTTCCAGCGAAGACTTCGAGTAAGCTTCTCCTTTCCTTTACTCTTGTTATTCTCTTCGTCTATCTCCTTCTTTTTCTTTCTTCTGTGATTTCCGAATCTCTGGTTTTTGCGGTTTCAACTATGCATTGTTATTGCGCAAAAAGAAAGTTGATGAAGATGATTGAAGGTGCGGTGATGATTGATGGTTGCGTGCGTTTTCAACTATGTTGTCGATGCTAAGATGATGATGATAACTGGCGCGAAAGACGCAGTGATTCGCTATTGCTAACCGTTGATGATTCGTGAAGCAGTCATATTTGAAGATTGATGACATAATCAAGATGAAGCGAAGTTTCTATTGAAGGTTGAAGATGCTGACTGATGATTGAGAGATGAGGTTCTCGCAGCTGGTTGATATAAGATGAGGAAGATGATAAAGATCACAGAGTTTGGAGCATGATAAGAGAGAGGAGAGAGTTTTTTGTCGTGATTCTTCAGATTGTGAAGAATTATGATGATGACCAATGAAGATTGAAGCCGAGTAGTGATATTGTGCAGTTTCAGAAATTGCAAGAAGACAAATTGAGAAGTTTCTTGTGCTTTTTGTTGGCGAGTTTCCTTTTAAGATTTTCTGTGTTGAATAATTGTATCCCCCTCATCTTTTTCTATTATCTATTAAATATTGTTGAGGGTTGATGAAAACAGTTGATGGAGATTCACGAAGGTTATGCAAACTGGTAAATAACTAAAGCTTCAAGGTTGATGCATGGTGATACAAAGAAGATGATGAAAGTCGCGAATCAGGTTGAAGAATGATTGAAGAAGATGCAAAGAATTTCATAGAGAGAGAGAGGTTGGTGATTGAGGAATCGTGAAGAGAGTGATGAAGGATGTGCAGCAAAATTCTTCCGAGGATAATTCTAGAGGTGATTTCTTTCTCTGTGAATTTTCTGTGTGTTAGATAATTGTTCTCTTGAAAACGAATCATCTTTTGTAACTCTCTGAATCTTCTATTATATAGCTCTTCTAGAATTTTGTTAGAAACAATTGGGAGGTTAGAGTTGAGCTCGGATTTGGTTGGATGTTAGTTAGAGAAATTAGTTTTTTTTGTTATTGAAATTCTGTTTTCTATTGAGGAGTTCTGTTAGTTAGTTAGGAAGGTTTTGGGCTGTTAAACAGGGCTATTATGATATGGTTACAGGGCTGTTAGGAAACAGTTGCGATTCAGTTAGTTCCTTTTCTCCTCCTCATCTTTATTATACCAATTCTGCACAATAGAATATTTATTTTCTGCTTTTTGTGCACCAATCTTGCAGGTGAAGTTGACTATTCATAGAACTTTTATCAACATTCACAGCCTGTTGACCTCTGTTGTCGTATTTGTTTCCACAGAAGAAGACCATGATTAACAAACTCTAGAGGATCAGTCTGAATGGCATCACTACTTTGAGGATCAGAAGGATGGTTTGACACGACGATGGATGAGATGCTTGTCTGGGATTGAGTTTCACTGTGATCCACATCAATAGCACTGCTGTTCCAAAAATCTTATGAGCTGTTGTCTTTGTCCATTGTTTGGGTTTGAGATTTTAGTTCCTTAGATGCATCAGCCTCACCAATCAAAATTATTTCAAGAGGCATTGAGAAACATCCAAGACAACCTCCTATGCAAGCGAGAATCTGACAGAGCCAAGGCGGAACATATCCACAGATATGCATTTAAAAGATTCAGAACTGAGATCTAGAAGAGGACATGGTTTCTGTTGGTATTAATTATGCACTTTTATGTAATTTTGAATGGTTGAAAGTGTATATGTTCTAGTTCTTGATTTTGTAATAGCCATGGTTGAATCAAGAAAAGAGACTTTGAATTAATTCACTTGTCTTTGAATTTATTCTCTTATGCTTACATCTTCTCAAAATGTATCTTGAATGAATCGCGATCCCTTCTTTAACCTCAAGTTCAAAATATTCTTTTTGTATCTCAAACATAACCCAAATTCTGAGCAAAGCCAATTGATGAATCACTTATATTATGAGTACAAGAATACTAGGAAAATTATCCACAAGTCATGTAACATCTCTCGCATATATCTTGTCCTTTAAGCAAGTTAAATGACTTATCCTTGAATCACATTAAAAACTTCTATTCCATGTTCATCTTAAATTGATCCTTAATGTAACTCGAGCGTTCATGACAAGTCGAAACTCAATTGACTTCAAATGGCATGCTTGGTCAATGAACCTTAATCTCAATTGGATCCATAAATTCTAGTCATATTGCATTTGAAACAACCATCTTTTATTTGATAAAATGAGCTAAATAAGCTCCTGACCCAATCTTGAATTAACCGTTAACAAAGTCATGAACTTAATAACCCCCTTGAATCAATATTAACTCTGAGCATGATTATAAGTTTCAACGAATCCAAGTCACTAGTCATCCCTCTCAATAGCCCAATTCAACTTGCAACCGAAGTAATAAGTATTTGATGAGAACCAAAAATTGTATCATTCAAAACAAGTCCACAATGTTGAAGAAGGAGAAACTCAAGATAACCACAAGATCGAGCCCTAATCCAATGATCCCCAATTGAAAACCCTAATTCTTAAGCATTGAAGAAATATTGCAACCTGATGCCGAGGAGAGAGAATATCCCTGTAATTTGATGATAAAGAAGTCCAGGAAATATAATCCTAATTCGAACAAATGATTGATGGAGAAATCAACCAAAACAAGCTTGTGCGAAGATAAGAGCCTTAAAGCCATACAACAAACCTAATTCCTCGAAATCCCTGGTCCCAAGCCAAACTATTGACTAATGATGCCTGATGCATTAGATGACCTAATGAAGGTTATGTACCTCAATCTCAATTAAATCCACAAATTCTAGTCACCTTGCATTTGAAGCGACCAACCTCCATTCAGAGAGAGAAACCCTAATGCCAAAGCTCTTCGATCTTATAACCATGAGTCCAATGTTCATTTTTGATATATGCATTTGACATTAATTGCTGCTCATAAATATTTACATACGAAACAAAAGACGAATTACGGGTAATATCAGAAACAGGGGAAATAAGGATTATCCAAGCTGTATAGTTGCTCTGTCCACCAAGTACAAGGTAAATTCAGCTGAAGAATATGGCTAAGATACCTTCACTCCCCACAGAGTAAGGCAATAATGGTAGCTCTCCCCCAGTTGAGACCTGCAACTATGAACGAATCAGCAATGCTCTCCCCAAGCAGAGTTCATCTACCATCAGCATTACAAAAGGCTTAATATCCCCAACAATCTTAATATTCCCTAGCAGAGTATAAGAATGTCCCCTGGCATAATACAAGATACCCCCAGTGGAGTCAATATTTTCCGAGCGCAGTCTGAAAAAAACTTCCCCAATGGAGTTGAATCATCATCCCCAGTAGACTCTGGAAGTTATCCCCAGCGGAGTACAAAATAAATCTCCCCAGCCAAGTTCAAAGGATTACCCCCAGCAAGTCACAACTGAAAGATCATCCCCAGCAGAGTTCTTTCCTTTCACAAACAGGAATTCAATCCTCAACAGACTCAATATCACCAGCAACGATAATCCATCTCCAGTAGAGCTTATCAGTGGAATCCTCAGCAGAGCATCTCTTCCCCACAGAGTAATCTCCTCATCGACTTATTCCCCAACGGAGTTATCTTCTCCTGCAGGTTCATTCTCGCAATCACCTTCGTTCACCATCCCTAGCGGAAGCGAAGAATTCAAGTCTATTCTCCGACAGCTATCCGGGATTTATTTTCCCCAGCTAAAAAATTACATTTCCATACATCATAATACATGCATATACGCATCATACAATCTCATTTATTTTGAGAACATCATCGTTTGATCCATAACATGCATTTCATATAAATGACCTTTACCTTTCAGGAAAGATGCAGTTAGATTCTCAGCTATATCAAAAGACTTCCTCTGGTTCAGTTAGATTGTTGCGAAGATCTCCCTGATTCGTGTTCCAGTTGAAGTTATTCCAAGACTCTTGTCTGGTCCAGTTAAATCGATTCCTAAAGATTTTTCTGATGCCAATCCAGTCAAAATTATTCCAAGACCTTATCTGGTCCAGTTAAACTGATTCCTAAAGATTTTTCTGATTCTGATCCAGTCAAAATTATTCCAAGACCTTGTCTGGTCCAGTTAAATTGATTCCTAGAGATTTTTCTGATGCCGATCCAGTCAAAGTTATCCCAAGACCTTCTCTGGTCCAGTTAAGTCGATTCCTAAAGATTTTTCTAATGCCGATGCAGTTGAAGTTTTTCCAAGACCTTGTCTGGTCCAGTTAAATCGATTCCTAAAGATTTTTCTGATGCCGATCCAGTCAAAGTTATTCCAAGACCTTGTCTGGTCCAGTTGAATTGATTCCTAAAGATTTTGCTGATGCCGATCCAGTCAAAGTTAATCCAAGACCTCCTCTGGTTCAATCAGATCGCCGATAAGATCTCCCTGATTCGTATTCTAGTTGAAGTTATTCCAAGACCTTGTCTGGTCCAGTTAAATCGATTCCTAAAGATTTTTCTAATGCCGATCCAGTCAAAGTTAATCCAAGACCTCCTCTGGTTCAGTTAGATCGCCGATAAGATCTCCCTGATTCGTATTCCAGTCGAAGTTCATACCACCTACCAACAATCTCCAAATGGCATCTGTAAGCCCATTCTCGATGTCACAATGCTGATACCACTTCATGCGAGTGCAAATTTCTGGGCACTCTAGTGTTCAATCATCTTCCACCTTCGGATCACGAAAGGCCTGAAAGCCAATCTACATCCTCATGTTTAAGAAAATTGAACAGGGGCAGCTGTTGTACCCCGAAATTTCCCCTCTCATATTTCTCAAGACATTGCAAGAATAATCTCCAAATGGCTCAAGATTGCTCAAGAGTTGGACAGTCAAGTCATCTCCTAAGGCAGTCAACCTCAAATTAGGGTTTTGTGCCGCATCAAGGTCCTTGCATCCAAATGACTTCAAGTGCTTCCCAATGTTCTAATATGTTCTCAAGTTCATCCATGTCAAATTTCAAGCCTTGCAGAGGAAGTTTGGTCAGTCAATTGCTCAAAAGGTCCAAAAATCGTCTGTGTTAGGGCAAAAGTCAATTGTGACCCAAATATAGTTAAACTTCAAGATTTTTTGTCAACATTCTCATTTTGAAGGATATTTCATTATTTGATCAAGGGTTGATCATGATTCATCAAGGATTGCTCAAAATTCATCAAGACTCAAAAGTTGCTAAATTAGGGTTTTGTAGGAAAAGTCAACTCAACTTTGACCAAGCATAACTTTCTCATACTTTATGAGCAATGACCCATCCAAAGCTCATTTTGAAGAGGATTCAATTTCATACAATCCATATTCACACCCCAAGATCAATAAATGCACTCACAAGAAGTTATAAATTTGGACATTATAGGTCATTTTTGAAAGTCAACAAAAAACCTTTTTTTCCAAAGCTTATAACTTGAGCATAGAATATTAAAATGAGTTGAGACCAAAAGGGTTGGTTATATTACATCTCAAGCTTTCTAAAAAGTCCAAGAACACTTCCAAAAGTTCAAAATTGAAGAAGTTATGCATTGTTGAAGTTGGGCATTTATGCAAAATTGCCAAAAGTCAACTATCCCCAAAACTTCAAATTTTGTCAAATGAGCCCATTCTTTTTCACTTGATTTGATCTTGTCACACTACACACGTGTCCTAGCTTCAGCCTTGTGTCCATTTATTAAATTTTCTATTTTATTTGATTTTTTATTGAATTAATTCATTTTAAATCAATTTAAATCAAATAAAATCCAAATATTGACGACTTAGGATTTTTTCGGTTGTTATAGGTCTTAATTATCATCCTGATCATGATCAAATCCGTATCAAGCTTTTCATGTACAAAAATATTGGATTTTGGACCAAATTGGAAGGTTATCAATGGTGAATCAAATCATATCTCCAAGCATTGATTTACAAAGATTCAAGACCCAAAACTTGACCTAATCCAATGCTGCATACATATACAATGCAAAGGCACACGAGTGAGGGGTTAGAAGCTGCAAAACCATCAAAACCAAACTTGAGAAAACTTGGAAAAAGCTTGAAACTGAAATCCTTCTTAGAGGCAGTTTCAACACCAAAGCTCAACGTGAATCAATTGTTGGACCTCCACTGAGTCAGAAGCAACCAAAAGCACACTCTCATACCCTCTGAATCGTGCTGTAAGTCTCTCACAAAACCGCTCTGCACTTGAAATCGCAACTCCATATTTCTGCATCTTTTGAACAAATCTTTGGCATATTCATGATCCTTGTGCAATTTCTAAACTTTCTGCATTATTTGATTGTATTTATATAGCGTGTAACCCCCTAGCCGAATCTAGGGTTCTTGGTCTTTGTTTTTGGGCGTTTTATTTTCAAGCAAAATTGGAGCCATTGATGGATATAGACGTGCTCAGGAGACCTAGACGAGCATGACTATGGTCTTGGAATTAATTTCTATGGCCTAGGATATATTTTAGGATGCAGCTACAGATTTAGCTGCGGATGTAAATCCGCAGGTAAATATCCAGGTCTCAACGAGGAAGATGAAGACGTGGCCCTCCCCCATTGGACAATTCATACTTCGCGCGTTTTTTGTTTTAATTCTGGCATAATTAATTTGTTTCCCATATTATAATATTTGTCCACTAGGTATAC